CCCCGGTTTGAGCCGGCCCATACGTGCAACAGCAATGTTGCCGCGTGGTTCTACCCTTCAATAACGCCTACTTCAGAAACATATACGCACACCTCTTCATGAAAGGTGGTTGATGTCTGAGCTTACGGTTCCACGCTTAGACCCGGTCTAGACATCAAATATGTGGACTGTATATTTACTTCACTTTCCCTAACTTTCAGGCTCAACACTGGGAATGAAACAGCGATATTCTTGAAAATTATTGGGAAATGTGATAACCGGGGAAGTTTTTTGAATCTTGCTGTTGAACCGGAGATTTTTTCGAACTTAACTAGTAGTGGAGATTCTGAACAAATTGCGAATAACTCGCCGTAGGGATGCTTTTCTTGCTATACTATAAAGTAGCATATGTGCAAAATGCCTCCTATTTAGCGCGCATTTTTCTTTATCACATTCCTCTTTTTGTCGAAATAACTTTATTTTCAACAAAGACACATACTAAAATTATGCTTCTCCAAAAAGAACACATCATATTATATAATAAAATTTGTTGTTTTATTATGTAATATTATGTGTTCACTGTCTTAAGGTCTTAGCCCAGTTACACGACTCCGCTCCCACCCGACAAAAATAATATAATTCAAATATGGGCTATAAGTATTCCTCTTTACATTGGCAACATAAATTAGCAGACAGCTCGGTAGTCGACGCCTCGTTGAGCACGCGTTGCAAGCAAGCGGTCTGTGCTTAGGTTACTGACTATGTACTAGAGATAGATGAGCAACTCAAACTTTATTTACGTTAAGTTCCGTGACCATCCATCAGATGGCGTAAAATTAAGAGTGATTTGGGCCCGCCCTTTATTTGCACTTTACAATTTATATTTTTAGAACCATTAATTACATTGCACAAGTGCTGCAATGTAATTAATGGTTCTTTATATTTCTTGTTCTAATTGTTAGTTCATATTAATAAAATAAAAACCGGATATTTTTAACATATTTACTGTTTTATTGTTTAAAAATTCTTTGCTTAAATTATTAACATTAGATGCGTTAAATTTAACAATATTTGCACAATATCAATTGATTTCTTTAAACACATTCTTTTTAACTGGTTAGTTAAAAGTTAGAAAATATATTATGTTACAGAGAATACAATAAAATAGAATTATTATTATTAAATATAGATTATTACATAATACTTATTGAAAGTCATGTTTTATTTACTACAGATACCTCTGTTCTGGGAAGAACCAACAAGAAACCCAGCAAGAACTTTTTTAACACATATTTCACTTTACAATAATTTAATAGTACAAGCACGGTGGCGATCACCTCAATCCCAGGGGTTATTATTGATGTATTTTTTGATATTGTAATAACACTTTTCGTATACTTTTCTTTTAATAAAACATTTCAACTTTTTTATTGACAAATTTTGTAAATTTTCTAAAATGTTATTTTAAAAGCGTATATATATATATATATATATATATATATATATATATATATATATATATATATAAACCTACGTTGCCCCATAAAAGCACTACTGACTTAATATGTCAACTTTAAAAAATGTAACAACTACTTAAAAAGTAAACACAAACTACTTAAAAGTAAATACAGGCTCGGTGTTAAAACGGTAAATACATTTAAAGATTAATTTAACATTTAAACATAGCCATAAAAGATAGAAATGAATGAATAAAGTGGGATTTAGTTTAGTTATTCACTTAACGGTGTTTTTATGGTATTTTGATTTTCAACTTTAATTATATCTCACTTTCTAGTGACTCACATTTAAAACATTATATCTATACAAATAATATAACAATAGCAGATGTTTACTAAATACACATGAAAGTACGGTACTAATAACCAAAAATCATTTTTTTTTAATTTTTGTCTGTCTGGCCTTTGGTCTGTTTGTTCCAGCTAATCTTCAAAATGGCTGAACCGATTTCTACATGACTTTCACTGGCAGAGCAGGAGATGATGTTATAACGATTAAATAAGGCTACTTTTAAAAGTTTAAGCGTTCCGCGTTAAAAAAAAGACCATACCATGTAGCCATTCGTAATTGAATAGAACTTCTGCGTAAAGATCGGTAAATCGCTTGGATCGAACAAGATGAAAAGGCAGCTCACCAAACTGAAATATAAAATAATATTCAGTAAATCATACAACGTGATAAATTTATTAAGTAAATTTATCTCGCTATGCAATTGATTTCTTATATTTACGCGAACACTACACATTTAATACAAAAATTGTATCCCCCGATTACATCCACTGACAACTGACGACCACTGACTGGGTTGGCTCGACCGGGGGAAGGACCACGTCTCACAGAATACCAGCGTAAAATAGTAGCTTAATGCTGCTGTGTTTCGTATGGTGAGTGTAGAGCACCGGAGACCCTTTTTACTGGAAACGAGGCATTCCATCTTAGTCCTCACGGGTGACAACGCATCTGCATTTTGATTCGTAATCGAGGATAGATGTAGATGTCTATGGGGTACAGCAACCACTTACCATCAGGTGGACTGTGTGTTCGTTTGTCAACCTATCCTATAAAAAAAAACAAATGATAAAATTTTCTTGTCCCTATGATAGAGCACGGCAACAGGGGAAGGGAGAAGTATATCCAAGTTTGACATAACGAGTAGACATATATCTCCCGTACGTAGCATAGGACCAAATGTAAGAGAAAAATTATGCTATTTCATACTTGAAAGGTACAATTTTATCCTCGTTCATTGGTCGTGAGTTTAACTTTATGGAGTAATATAGGCTATATTTTATCGAAACACATGGAGTTTTTTTTCTGAGAAATCTAAAATTTGAATAAATGAATGGTCTTTTTTAAAATTTGTCTGAATCAAGATTCTCAACGGTTTTTGCCTGTTTTAGATACCGATACACGAATTCTGTAAATTAAGAAAAAAATTACATTTATATAATAACTATAGGTATAACAGTGTAAGCAGTTTATTTACTTCCGCTAAGCTAATTAGCTTACGGAAATTAAGCTAAGGTAAGCATCAAATATTTTTCTAACGCTTTTCCCTCTGTCCCTCTAATTCTGTCCCTCAAATGCCCCGAGCATTTGAGGGACAGAATTAACTTTGCAGAGAAAAAAAAAACGTTCTCCCTTACATGGGCCTGCATGATACTCTATATATTCTCTTTTAATTATTTACGCCTTGCATCTGATGATCATGATTCTAAGTCACCGTAAAGTATTTTTTGTGCAAGTATCAATATTTGTAACATAAATGGTGTTAATTGCATTAATTTAAAGGCTTAGTTCTTTTACACGTATTTTGATTCCTAATAGAGGATACATGTAGGCTTCTATGGGCCATAGCAACCACTTACCATCAGGTGGACTGTGTGCTCGTTTGTCACCGTATCCTATAGAAAAACGTTTGAGAGACCATAGACCTTAGCTTATGTTTAAACAATTACTTAACCAGAGCCAGGGAAGAGTGAAATTAAAACTGTTATATTGATGAAACAAAAGGAAATCACCTTTCTCAGATTATATCTCTTCTAAGAACCATCTGCCGAGTTAAATACAAGCGGTTGCAAAGGAACCTTCCTGTCAGCGACGCCTTCCTTGTCAGCCTAATTGAATCGGTGACGTTGGATCTCCGTATACTTAAACGGTTTGGGTATACCTCCTCCCCAAATACCTAGAATAATGGTTTATTAAAAAAATAAAAATAAATAACTCAGCATTCCACCGCTTAGAAAAGGACTATTTAAATAATAATAATAAAAAGTTAAGTTATAGCCTATGTAAGTAGAGGACTGGCCTACTCTCATTTCTGAAATTAATAATTTTCTGTAACTCAATCTCATTTTTATGAAAGAGAGAGAGAGAGAGAGTTATGTCAAACAGTACTGAATACTCCTCTACTTAGATAAGGACTATTAAATAACAAAGAAGTTTATTTTTAATTAAATTAATTAATCGATTAAAATCTTTCGAAATTCAAATCGTATCCATTCTACTTTACTTACAGCAATAAAACAATATATTTAGTAGACATCATTGACCTTGTCACTTTGCAGCGTCACAGGCTCAAGGGCAAAGGGCAAATTAATTGTTTAAAAAATTGTCTTCAAGGTTTAATCCAAAAATGTTTGTTTTATTTTTTTTTATAAAATAATAGTGCGATAGTCTTCTACTCCGTTCACATGTTACACCCTATTCTTTTCCAGACGGGAAAAAGGTTATCCAGTATATGTGCTCGCTATTGGCCTTTTAGGAGAAATTTGACAAGAATTCATCCGCCTCACTACCCCAATGTACGTTATCGAAGTTAACATAGCTTTAAGTTATTTTATGTCTCAAGAAACAAAAATATCCCCAAAATATTATTTTCCTTCAGAACCAAACACTTGGTAAATAAGCACTTCAAACTTACTAATGACTATAAACCTTATGGCTAGGGTATATTTTTATTTTTTATTTTTTATTGACAACGCACGTGTCACTTTTTAATTTATTGCGAGTATCGTTTAATCGCTGTAACCACTTCTCGCTAAGTAGACTGTTAGCTCGTACGACACTAGCGTTATTTATTGACTACCACATTAAGTGTACCATAATCTAATAATCGCAAGTGCAATTGTCAATTGCTGTAGTCCGAATCCAGAGTCGAACCCAAACAAGTTATTGGTCGTCTCTGTCAGGGAACTCTCAGTAGCACCCTGAAGCCATAAAATTAGCAGTGTTTCAGTCTCGTGTCTAAACTTATTAAACGTCTAAACTAATTCTGGTAGTGTTGGATTGCCGTCCCATCGGACTGTGTGAGTGAGGAATGAGAGAGTGCTTCTATGCTTGCTCACGCACAAGTTGACTGTAATCGTGTCCTTAGCAAATGCCTAGTCTTCGTTGAGACGCAATTCGGTCGGGAGAACATTATTATTATTATCATGTTATTAACAAAACGTATAATAACTTGCATTGCTGTATTTTAACATTATTTTTTACAAAGCACTTACTTTAGAACTTGCATTGCTAGATCTTCTAATGATTTCACTTCAAGAAAGTTTTCCTCGGAGTCTATCATACGGCGAAGTACATCATACTCTTTCGATAATTCTGGATTTGCTTTTTCGTAAGCGCTAGTGACAATGATCTAAAATCAGAAATTAATTTTGAAATCATTATGATTCCCTTTTTTCACTGATTAACCCAATTTATCAATTATTATTTTCCACGTCCACTCTTAGCTCTCGTAAATTACACTCCTCTCAACCCAACGTCTGACTATTGCCGTATCATCCCTGCAGCATCCTTAGTGGCATTGAGAATAGGAAGCATGATTTCGTCATACTAACATACTCGGTCCTCGTGACCTTACCTCATCGGAAGGCAGAAAGACCCGTGTCCGAATGTTCAATTACACGAGTATAATGTCATTGGTTTCATACATATTATGTAACTGGGGTATCGAATGCGTCTCTAAAGATTAGGATATAATTTTGTAATAAGATAATGTGTTCTTTCCAAAGTTTATATGGATATGCTCATGCAATGTCCTTAAGACCAAATTTCGGGCTCATTCAGAAGCTAGCCATCTGCGCAGGAAAGGAATATAGTATTTATGCGCAAGAACATGTACACTCTTTATTCTTTCACTCTCATAGTCCAATGGAACGATAAACTAACACAATCGGAGAGAGATCAGGCGCAGCCACAACGGCTATACATGCTTTCCGAGACATGCGGGTGAAACACAGCCAATTTCCTGACTCCGGACAGCTTTGAAAATTTCTTGATAAAATTTGTTTGGCCGACACGGGATTCTAACCTGGGACCACATTACCACCAGTCACATTTACGACCTCTAGAACAATGCAGAAGTCACTACCACTATGTCATAGCTGTGAAGTTGTTGCATATTCTTACCTTACAATGTGGAGGCAGCCTTGATGGAAGCCATGAAACTTTATTATTTTCGGTACCAATCCCCGTAAGCTGGTCTACGGAGTCCAAAAACAAGAGAAGTGGTTGCTGCTGAGCTGCCGTTGCCAACAACATCTTAAAATGTGCTGTCAGAGGTACCAAGTCGTCCGGTGTACTCTCAAAGGGTAAAGCAAAGTTATATGATATCTGCAAAAAACGAGGTATGATGAGCGCAAACTGATATTTTTGAATTTTTTTATTATTAGAATTGAATGGAATTATTTGGATCACTCTGCAGCTATGATAATATAGGCTTGAACGAGAAATAATCACGCTCAAAGAATATCAGTGTTAAAATGCAGTCGAATGTTGTGTTTCGTATTGTAAGTGCAAAGAACTGGTGATCTTTTTACTGGAAGAGAAGTTAGAGTATTCCATCTAAAGCTTTGGTCTCTTGATCGTAACGCACAACGCTGCGGTAAGCGGCATGCGGTGCCGGACACACAATCGTATGAAAAACGTGTAGAATGGTCTCTTGTTCTGTCGCAGTATGCGTCAGCGGCGAAGGGCAAGCGCGGTGAAGTGGGAAGCGGGTACTCCGCACTGCGCGGCGTCGTTCTCGTTGCGACGCTGCGGTGTGCGTTACGGGTTGACAATGGATTTGTTTGAAGATAATATAATATAATTAATCCGCAATTATCCCTTTTTTATATAAAAATAAAACCAACATTCCTTCTTCCTCCTCTAACAAGCAAACTAACAAAGCACAAATTTCAAAACTATTGTTCATGTTGACACGTCTGCTTTGGTAGCTGCGGCAAAATCAACCGATCATTTCTCCCCAGAGATGCTAAAAGCGGCGGCGTGACCAAGAGATCAAGAGACCAAAGCTTATGTCCATAGGGATGGCAATGTATCATAATATTGATTATTTAATTGAGGACAAATGTATATCTCCACGGCATCCATTAATCTTTAGATGGACAGTGTGCTCGTTTGTCACCCTCATTATACAGGCTGTCCTGTTAGTAGTGACCAAAAAATAGAATAAAACAATAATATATTCATTATACAGGGAGCGCTATGATATGCATTATATGCATATATGCATTATATGCATATATGCATTGTATAATACCCTTTGGTAATTTTTTTCATAATATTATTTGTCATATTAGTGTAGTGAAAGTTATGCTAATTAAAGTCACCTACTACATTAGTAATATCATGTATTTTGTTAACAGCATAAAATATCACAAATCTATACAAAGTTATAAATATTCATAATAATAACAATATACATTTTAGACACACAAAATAACAAGTTATAACAATAATTATCATTAATACTCACAGTTTATCTTTCGTGTACGTATTCTCTACTCAACAGTTTTGGTATGACTGCCGCTCGTAACTGCCGCTCACAGCTGCCGCTAAATGCGACGACATCTCTCTTTTATAGGGTTGTAATTTAACAGTGCTAAACTACAGATGGCGTTGTTTGTGTGGTTTCCGTTACAAGTTTTTAATATAATTGGATATTAAGCCGTAAGGTTTTACATTACAAAACGTTATTTATATTTCTTATAATTATCTTAAACAGTTTTATATTTTCGTTATAAATATGAGCAAAAATAAATAAATAGACATAATCTAAAACATTAAAGTACCCGCAAAATTATAGTTTGAAAATAATTAATTATCCACAATATTAGTTACAACAATATAAATTATTAAAGTACGCTAACAATTATTAACTTGTAAACCTGTTTTCTTGCTGTTGGTTCCACCTCTCTAATTTAATTAAATTAAAAATTGTTGACAACAAGAATCTTCAAAAAATGTTTAAAAATTAGGCTCTTCAGTAATGAAGTAGCTATAACTTTTTAGTTTTATTGAAAGTTGTTTTATTTTTTATTGTTTTTTAATCTTCATTCATTGCACTATTTTTCCAGCCATTGGATATCGAGGAAATATCTTTTAGAAGTATCTTTTTTAACACCACAGTATCTTAAACTGTTAAGTTACTATTATTGTTAGATTAATGTTAGGTTAATAACTATTATATTATTGTTTATAACAGAATTACTCGATTTAACTTTATATTATATTTAATATTAGTTGTTAACATTAATGATTACGGATAATAGATAGAGTAATATAATTTAACCGGAAGAATAATGTTTTGATTACTGTAAAAGAGTGGGGCGGAAATGATGCCGCCCCACCCTGCTAACGAGTGCGAAAGGTTCATAGTAAGAGTAGAAAGTCAGGTTCTAATTATAGAAATAAATTGCTTTGTACTTTAAAAGAAAAAGTTCTAAGCTTATATCTGTAAGTTTCAGATAATCGGAGCCATTATGGATGATGAATTTGCTCAAGGACAAGATCAAGGACGAATGACCCGAGGAAAAGGGTTGAATGAGATTAGTGATGATGCGACCAGTCGAGGGGAAGGACTGGCGCATCTATCTAATCAAGGGGTTGATGATGCGACCAGTCGAGGGAAAGGACTGGCGCATCTATCTTATCAAGGAGTTGATGATGCGACCAGTCGAGAAGAAGGACTAGCGCATCCATCTAATCAAGGAGCACTCAGGATAGAGGTGCAAGGACGGAATTTCAGCCCGAGATTGATACGGGAAACGCCCTGCTCGAGGATAAAGCAGGTACGTTCCAAGGATAAGGAAGGATGACCAAGGAAGGGAGTGCGAACATGGTATCAGACTAGTGAGTCTGGTAGTGAGGATGGAAATGATGGGAGGAAGAAAAGGTGTAAACGGTCAACTCACCATAGATTGGAATCGAAGAGTAAAAGGAAGCGCAATCATTCGACATCTTCGGAGGATGGCGCTTCACAGCATACTAAGCGTCAGCGGCAAAGGAGCATAAGTAAGAAACCAGGTACTAATATATAAGTTTTTAGATATTTTAAGTAAAATCAGCTCTGATAGGTCTAAACTTGCTTTAAACACTAACGTCATACCAGAATTTGACCCTTTGTCAAAAAGCAAACTATTTTACCTTGGATAAACAAAGTAGAAGTAGAATAGAATAGAAGTAGAATTTATAGCTGGGACGAAAAACAAATTATCCATTTTTTATTAACTAAACTTAGTGACGTTGCAAAGACCTGGTTTCAAGGTTTGCCTTCACATATTTTATACATGGCCTGAGTGGAATAAGAAGTTGTTATAAATCTTTTATTATATATATTTTTTAATTACTGCCATCGTAGCATTTTTGCAAAATCTATAACTAGTTGACAGCTTAATATGAACTTTATCTCCTTTATCATCAAACCAAAACATGTTCATGGTCGTATTTTCACTCTTAACATCCTCAGTCTTCAATACCTATGACTTTTGACTTGTAATGTAGTGAGGAGAACACTAGCATCTTATCAAGCATTAAGAAACACAAGCACTCTGCCATGCTCAAGCGTTGTTCTTTCATTTGCTTAAATATAAAAATTGAGTTTATACCTGGTTTAATTAGTATTTATTTAAGGACCTTGTTAATGTCCGTTTTGAGTAAAAAGTGAACAATTTACTTAAGAATGTATATCTTTAAGGCTTTTTTTTATTTTTGTCGAAGTGGCCAGTCAATTTGTCTTCGAAATTGTACCATCTTCCACGATATTCATGTTATACTGTACTAACTGCATATTCAGGAATATATGGGTATGCATAGTCAAAGATATCAGTTTTATTGAAATATTATTTCTAAGTATTATTTTTGTTGTGATTATATTATGGTATCTTACACAATTTATTAGATTGATTATAATTTCGCAAATGGTTTGTGAGGTTGTATTACGTATGAGTATGTTAGAAAACATATAAAAAATGCTGATTTTGTAAAAAAAAATATATTGATTTATACATGTACAATGGTATAGTGGGGGTAAGAAAGTCACTTTTGTAAATTATTTGTATTTTTAAAAGTATAGTTATTACACACATTTAAAAATAAGTTATGTTACCAAAATATGATAACGTTATCAAGTACATATTTTAAAGATTAATAATGCTGTTGCAAAATGTATCTTTTTATATTAAGTTAAAAGATGTACCACTATCAATAATTAATTGATACTAATTCTTGAAATTATGGAAAAGGAGCAAACCTTTGCAGAGGATTCAAAGATCAATGTGCTCTTAAATGGGAAGTAGTTGAGTCTTGTGGATATCACTGTTTTTCTTGTTATTACTGCTAGTCATGCGACTGATATTGAAGCCATATTTATTTTATAAAAAGAGAGCCGTACGTTCAATTTATATCTTAAATTGTAAAGAGTCGCGTAGAGAAAAATTTAAAGAAATAAATATATTAATTTTGGCATAGCAATAATGTATGTACAATAATGTACGTATAATTGTACATACATTATATATATATATATATATATATATATATATATATATATATATACAATAATGTATGTAATGTATTTACATAAAAACATAAATAGCTTTCATAAAAATGAAGATGTTTATACTTTAAACACTAGGAACAAATATAAGCTTGTAACACCAGTTACCAAACTCCACTGAGTCAGTAGTGCTTTTATGGGGTTACATATATGCTTTTAAAACAAAATTTCAGAAAATGTACAAAATTTGTCAATTAAGTTAAAATGTTTTGTTTAAGGAAAAATTTATAAAAAGTGTTATTATAATATCAAAAAATACATCAATAATAACTCCTGGGATTGAGGTGATCGCCACCATACTTGTACTATTAAAATGTATTTAAAAAATGTATAAACAAAATTATTGTAAAGTGAAATACCTATGTTTTAAAAACGTCCCGCTGGGTTTCTTATTGGTTCTTCCCAGGACAGATGTATCTATAGTAAATAAAACATGACTTTCAATAAGTATTATGTAATAATTTATATTTAATAATATATTTAATTGTATTCTCTGTAACATAATATATTTACTAAATTTTAACTAACGAGTTAAAAAATAATGTGTTTAAAGAAATCAATTGATAATGTGCAATTATTGTTAAATTTAACACATCTATAATTTAAGCAAAGAATTTTTAAACAATAAATATTTAAAAAATATTCGATTTTTATTTCATTAATAGGAACTAGCAATTAGCACAAGAAATATAAAGAACCA